TCAAACTTGACTTTTTCTGAAACAAATAGTGCGAAAATTACCTTTTTAATTATTTTTCTTTTAATTGTTTTCTTTTTAATTGTTTTTATATTACTATTATCATTTCTATTACACTAAAAATTTTACAGAAGTAAAAAAAGATAAACATGTATGGATTTATGGACATATTTCATATATAATTATACATGTTTATGAATATTTATGCGTGTTTATTATGTTTATACATATTCATGCATGAAAAATTTTTTATCGGGAAATACCTTGGGTATCTTATATTACCATTTTCACGCCTTACGGTTTTACGATCATCAAATCTAACTTCTGTAATTAAGCAATTCAATGTCCCGTATTTTTCTATTGGTACGATCTTGCTCTATCACTACACGAAGAATTTATTGCCAAATATTTACCTATTGCCAAATATTTATTAAATAATAAACAAGATTTAAAGGCTCATCTCAGCAAAACTTGAAAACATCCAAATTCTAAAATCTTTTTTTGCAACGACTATAGGCATGATCTAATAATGAATTTTCCACTAAATAATTTTCAATCCAAGAGCAATAAATTCATGGTGGAACCAATAGATAGCGTTTATTAGTTTAGCGGAAATCTCGCCGCTATCTCATAATTAGGTGCCTGTCTCATAATAGGGGACTTTCCTCAAATGTTTTCACATTATTATTATTATTTCTATTACACTAAAAACTAATTTTGCAAAAGAAAGAAGAATGTATGAACATGTATAAACATATTTCATATAAAATTATGTATGTTTATAGTTTATACGTATTTATACATATTCAAGCATAAAAAATTTTTTAGCGGAACCCACAGAACATTGAGACATCATATAAATGTCTGAAAATTCATGAGACATTTTTTTGGAAGTATCAAAATTACGTCTATATGATGTCTTTAAGATGTCTTGTAAGTCGATTTATGACGTCCTAAAGATATTATCCTTATGACGTCTTATAGACTTGTCCCTTATGACGTTTTACAGAATTATCTTTATGACGTCATAAAGATATCGTCCTTATTGGACGAGAATATTATTGTTACATTTTATTATATAGTCTAAATAATAAAAGTACAATAAAAGAAAAAATAAAATAAAAAATATAAATTATTGATACGGAAACGTGTTGACAAGACGAAGTATACGAAACAGAAGTTGGAATTACCTGATAAATCGGTATGTGACTGATATACATATATCACACTTAATATATATAAAAATGAATATCTGACGCAGGGCTCCAAAACTGACGTAGTGGGCAGTAATGCCACATCCTATTCATTTTCTTTTATAGAAATTATCTGTATAAAATACCTACAAATGAATTGTATATAAGATTTTCCAGAATCTTTTCACTTCAATATAAAGCATTTTTGTTGAATTATATGTGTATTTATTTTATGCTGTTCTGCAAGATGCAAATATGTAACGCGATAGTTCTTCAAGGGCTTTCTCATGTATGTACCATTACCTTCAGCTTCGATAGAGTTATTTGATTGACACTATAAAGCAACATTACAACGATTAAATTAGCTCATGATTTGTTTTACAGACAGATGTGTCGATTTACGCTGCATCCTGATTTTATATTTAAAATCGTATCATAAAAAAATTAAGAAAAAAAAAATATAAATAAAACTAATTTAGGAAACTACAAGTATTTAAAACGACGTAATATTATTAATAATATAATCACTATTATTTAAATTACGCAATTTGCAAGAGAAAATCATAAGAATTTTATTTTCGTATACGTAGAATTCCTTTTTAGCTGACTTTGTGTAGAAACAAGTCACAAATATAGGAATCATGTGTTTACACTTTTTTAATTAATTAAACAAATCATGATTTTTCTATGATGACCGTTTCCAACACAAATACACAAATTTTTTTACTATGTACGACAAGTTTGAACAGATACAAAAATATTATAAAATGGAAAAGATAAAAGTTAATGACATTATTTAAATATAAATATTAACTTATATTTAATAATATTTAACATATTTTATCCATTTTTCATAATCTTCAGAGTATTCTTAAAAGCGTAAAATAATTATTATCATTCATCTAAATAAATGTTAAAAATCGATTTTTGTCCGGTTTCCGCCCACTGTGCGGCGGCTCGGCCGTGCGGTGATGGGGGTCGCGCACTGCTGTAGGGGACAATGAATCATGAGTGTATATTTTGCTACAAAGAGTTTAATTTTAGTCCATTTTTAACAATATAGACAAATCTCGTTTACTTGTTATCTTTTATCTTTAACCTGTACTGCGTACCTAGATAGACAAGCGTGCGATACCCGCACAAGATACCGCTACCGTACTGTTACTATACTGTCACGAGGTGGCGGTGTACGGCATAACTGTACGGTAGCAGTACATAAAGTGTACGTGATATTATAGTACAGCGTATCAACACTGTACCTGTACTGCGTACTATTTAGGTACGTCATGGTACATAACCCATACCCAGATAGACAAGCGTGCGATACCCGCACAAGATACCGCTACCGTACTGCCCAGATAGACAAGCGTGCGATACCCGCACAAGATACCGCTACCGTACTGTTACTGTACTGCCACG